CTCGGCGGCTGCTCTGGGAAGTCTTTCTCGGGCGCGCCTGTCGATGTCTTCCTCTTTGTCTTTTCTTCACACTACATAGTTTTCCTTTAAGCCTCCTACTATACCTCCCTCCACTCCCCCATTCCCTCAGATGGACTGCACCCCACCCCTTCCCACACTCGCTTTCCCCCTCGCTCGCTCGCTCTCTCTCCCCTCCAACTGATAGCTGCCTTGGCCGATTATTTCATCCAGTGCGGTCCACTGAGAGCCTCCTCTCCCGGCTTTGGAAGAGCTTTAATTAGCCATGTTAATATCCCCTTCATTGGCCTTAATATCACTCAACACCTTCCTCCATCTCAGCGGCCACCAGGGTCCCCCTGTCCTGTCAGAACAGCTGATTATTGAGAAGGATAGCTTTAATCAAACCTAATTGCAGTTCATTCTTTCTCTCTATCCCCCTTTGCCCTCCATTGCCAACATCTAATGGCAGCGACGACTTGATATCCCATTAAAAAACAATTAAACAACCTCCTTTTGTCTCTGCGCGAGCCAAAACACCAGCACAAACTTCTGTAGATATTTAAGAAGTAAAACAGAGAGAGAGAGAGAGCGGGGCCTCGTCTTAATTGCTCCCCTTTCCACCGAGGACCAATTTGCACTGTGCTCATGGAGAATCTTAACCAACTCAAATGTAATGGATGCTATAGCAATGCCACTACTGTGGACTATGAAAATTAAGCTTATCTTTTTAGCAAAAGGAAAGCGTGCGTAATTGCTTTCATAAAAGCAAACATAAAGCAGCAACTTTATGAAGGCGTGGGCGCTTCGTTTCGTGCCTTTTATTGTTCCGTAACTTTCGCCTTCACCGCGACAGGAACAGTAGGTAAGAGTATCCTAGAAAGGAGACAAGACTAACTCTGGAAGTAATGGGCTTCTTTTATGAAGTCAACGTATTGCCTGGGAAATATATTCTATTCCTCCCTTTGACAAACAGTAAATTGTTAACCAATGGCTGGTGGCGTGCACGTACACACACACAAGCGTGGGCATAGCTGCGCTCGCACACGCTCGCGCAGCGGCCTTACCCAATCTGTACGAGAGGCGACAGACAAATAAAAGTCGTATTTCAGGGCTGCTTTCCGCAGATGTCTGCTGCTCTACATTATGACTCTTTGGGGAAATAAAAACAGGGTCAGGGAATTAGAGTACATAATGGTCATTTTGATGATCAGCCAACAGATGCAACCTGAAAACACAGTGAACACAATCAAGTGAAATGCACTAATGACAAGTCGGGGTTTTTTATGGCCTCACCACACACCGACAGGCAATCAGCATTCTGGCATGGGTTAAAACGTCCTTTTATTGATGTCCGAGCCAAAGCTCCTGGACGCGGAGTGAAAATATTTTCTCACCTCTCCTCTCCCTCCTGGGCCCACAGCGAAGCCGAGGGTATAGGAGTCTATCGAAGAACGCTTCTAAATGACCAGCGCATGTGTTAATGTGGCCAGGGTTAGAAGGGTCATTTCAAACTCTGATTTACGGCCTGGCCAGGATCCTACTGGACGAACGAGGCCGTCTTAAGTGTTGTGAAACGTCCTCGCTGGCCACACAAGCCACCGCGCTCAGCTGAATGAAACGGCCGTACAGTCTATGGTAATCCAGTGAGACGCAGCCAAATTCTCCTCACAACAGAAACCACGGTGTTGCATAAAGCAGCGCGAGTCCAGCGCGATGAAAAAATAAACCTCACGACGAGGTATTTATAGCGAATCAGAGAAATCTGTGGCGTTGAACCATAATTTTTTTTTTACACAATTGGCTACTTTTTTTTTTTTTTTTTT